ATTTGATTTTGGCAGGGGCTATTTGAATACAATGTATTATATTTACACTAAGTGAAAATAGCATATTTTCTTAGCAATAGATTCTATTTACACTTTAATAATAGGAGTATTTTCTTGCAGTAATAGTAGTTTGATGCTGTTCGTACTACTTAGTGCAAATAGTGACCAATATCTGCACCTCATTATTGTAGTAGGCTACATTATAAAACAGTATAGGCTACAATAATAACCTATTGAGTGTAAATTATAATTTGTATTTAAAAATTATTAAATGGATGCCGCCCCTACAACTAGCCCTAACCTTAACCAATATCCACACGTTATTTTCCACTTTTCGATAATTTCCTTCATTTTTATTGAAAATATATGCCTTTCCGATGTGATACGGGATGTGAAAAGGGAGAAGAACGAGTTCAGCAGAAGGCGGAATCGAACTCGGGACCTTCGCGTCAAAACACAAATGCTTTGTGTTGTACCATCTGCGCCACTGATGGTAGGCGGACTTAGTGTAAGTAGCCTCTGCCATAATGAAAACAAAATAATGATTAAAAATAGCCTACAGGAGCGTTTTATTTTCATGAGAGGGCAATCGAATGTGCCCATTCTCTTTTGGGCTCTGTACCTTGTCGTCTATCCGCCATAAACATTCATAAAGGGTTGCACTCGTCATTAAATTATGCACATATCCAAAAAGGAATTCATGATATGTTAAAATTACATTTTCACTAGTAAAAATGGTTATTTAAGATATCATGAATTCCTTTTTGGATATGTGCATAATTGTAACTAGTAAGAAATGCATTTTTGATATCTGTAATAGGTTTGTCGGCCTTTTAACATTTAAACATATGAATTGTTGATATCAAGAATTAAATGGTTGATATCAACCATTTAATTCTTGATATCAACAATTTGATTGTCACTAGTGACAATCAAATTGTTGATATCAAGAATTAAATGGTTGATATCAACCATTTAATTCTTGATATCAACAATTTGATTGTCACTAGTGACAATCAAATTGTTGATATCAAGAATTAAATGGTTGATATCAACCATTTAATTCTTGATATCAACAATTTGATTGTCACTAGTGACAATCAAATTGTTGATATCAAGAATTAAATGGTTGATATCAACCATTTAATTCTTGATATCAGGAATTACATTTCCTCTAGTAACAACACGAATTCTTGATATCAACAATGCATTTCTTACAAGTTACAATTCTAAATGCACATATCAGCTTTGTATTTCTTACTAGTATTTCTTACTAGTAACAATCACATTCGTGATATCAGAAATGAACATTGTCACTAGTGACAATTAAATTGTTGATATCAAGAAGAAACATCCGTACTAGTAACCATGTGATTACTGATATAAAAAATAAAGGGTTTTACTAGTAAGAATTGTATTTCTGATATGTGAAATTGGAATTTCAACTAGTAAGAAATTAATTCTTGATATCAACAATTGATTTTGAATGGCAGCCTATGGTGACATTTAACTAGTGAAAATACAATTACAGATATCAAGAATTATAGTTTTTACTAGTTGAAAAGTAATTGTTGATATCAAGAATTAACATTGTTACTAGTGGAAATGTAGTTGCTGATATCAAAAATAGCAATTGTTACTAGTAGAAATCTAATTCCTGATATCAAGAATTAACATTTTAACTAGTAAAAATTGAATTGTTGATATCAAGAATTCATATCCTGAGAATGAATAAAAGTCAAAACGGCTTGCCATACTGAACAACACATGTGATATTAAAAAAGAGAAATTAAAACTCTAAACGCGTACAGCTAGATAATTTTTAGAGATAGGTTAATTTTTGCTCATGTGCATAATTGTGTGTTTTTGTGCAGTGTTAGGGTAAATGAGATGTTTGATTTGTAGAAAGGCCAGACAGCCGCTAATGCTGCTTTCATGTGTTAGATTGTGTAATGATGAACATCACTTAGAACCTAAATATTAATTATTTTTACTGAAAGTTTTGATGCTTTTAAAATGCTGCTTTCAGGTACTGGTTACAACACTCTGTGATGTGACAGCATGTTAAGTGTTGGTGTTCTGGTCAGAATATCAGAATGAAAAACTTTAAACAATTTGCTTCTCTTCCTATGAACCTTCGTAAATGATGCAATCAAATGAAGTGGCTGTGTAATACTGATTTTGGACTCAGACATTGATCATATTTATAAAAAAAAAATTAATTTTATTGATGTTTATTTAATAATATGTATTTACATTTTTATTAAATATTATTATTTTGACAAATTTATTGTAAAATATTAAAACACATGCCAGTAGTTTGAGAGTAAAGAGATGCATGGAATGCGTCATGGGAGTTTTTATTTCTTTAGTAACAGCAATTTTTCTGATTGGTGGATCTTTCTTCAGGATTATGGGTAGTGTAGTTATTCACTGGGAACTCAACAATTAAACATCAGTTAAAAAAATGAAATTGAAACTACAATGACTCTGGGCTACTACAGCCCCCACATAACTGCTTCAGAGTTTATGGTATGTCTTGAAAGCTTTATATGTTACCATTAAAATTATGATTCCACTGCATTGTCATATCCAGTAAAATTCGGGTTCAGTGTTTATAAAATCATGTTATTTCATGAGGTGTTTAAGTGATTGGTTGTTCCTCTCTTTCCTGCAGATGACAGCACAGGAGGTGCGTTTGTGTGGGCTGCTGCTGCAGGAGCACTTTGGAGATGTGGTGGAGAAAGTGGGCACTCATCTGATCCGCAGGGGAGTTCTGACCTTGCGAGCACTTGCCCATGAGACCAAACTTCCTCTTGACCTGGTAATGTCATGCACTTTAGCTTTCTCCGTTATTACATCCTTCCCTTTCTCTTCTCTTTCCATTCTTTCTGTCTTCCTTTTGCCAAGCCAGTAAATTCATCATATTCTCTTTAACACACTCTTCTCTTGCTAGGTCAAGAAGTCTCTGTGTGTGCTGATGCAGCATGGGATGTGTGCGTTTGGTGCTGGGCGTCGTGGGCCAGCGGGACCTGTGGAATATCACATCATCTGTGAGCACATCCTACACATGAACCGTTATCCACGCTACATCTACACCGCCAAGAGTCTTTATGGAGACACAGGCGAGCTCATTGTTGAGGAGATACTGCAGAGAGGACAGATGACTATGAGCAGCACAGTCAAGACTGTAGCAGACCGGCTGACCCACAATATGCCAGGTGAGAAACTATAAGATTACAAGAAGACTGAAGGGCTAATTCATATAAACGAAACAGGATTTGAAAATACAGGGGTTTTTTGTAAGGATTTTGGCTTTCAATATGATTGATTGCTCCTAACAAACTTTAAAGTGAGCTCAGCTCCTTTAAACCAAACTTAACTGAGACCATCTTGGTATGGGTATGGTTTGCTTATAACATGCATTATCAGCGTTCACCTGATTTTCAGAATTGCATAATGGCAAAAAAAATCTTTATAAAAAAAATCACATCATGGCAAATATTTTGCAAGCAGTTTTACCATTCAAAGGGAATGTTGGCATACAGAGGAGGAAATTAGTTGCATATATTTTAGTTTTATAGACTTGGCAGAAACTTATTAAAAATGACTGTAAACTTTAAAGACAAAGGTCTTTATACTACCATGGAAAGTTTTGTGAAAGTTAAATAATACACATAGATACTATTCTATGCATTTTTGTTATGTATGTATTAATTTTTTTGTATTTACCACAATCATTCTTAAGTTTTGAACTTTTATTTTGATAGGAACATATATATGATTTTTTATTGAAATTTATCCTGCATCCAAGCCCGATATATCAGCCGATATTTGCAATTTTTTAAATATCTCTTTATTAATAACTTTTTTTAATATATTTGTGAAAAATACTGTAATAGGATTACAGATTCAAGAAGTTGTCATCTAAAGTACAAATATGTTTATCTGACGCAGTTATATTTTATATATTTATATTCTATTTTATATAAGGAAAGAAGTTGTATCTATCTGTCTGTCTGTCTGTCTGTCTGTCTGTCTGTCTATCTATCTATCAGCCATCTGCCACCCTGCTCTCTAACATATGGATATCGGTGGATATCCACTAATAATTATCATTCTCAATATTATATTATATTAATATTCAAGTTGGCTGGGCTTCACAAAACACGAAAGTCTGTTTTTAAAATCAGTCAAAATGTAAACAGAACCAAGTTCTTCATTTACTTTTTGGGTTTGTCCAATTGGTTTTTTTTTTTTTTTTTTAAAGAGGATCAGACAAATGTGGTATAAAAAGAAAAAACACTAAAATGACATCTGAAATAGGTTCCATCCACTTTCTTATGTCTTGACTTTTATTTGAAATGTACCTATTGAAGCTCTTTTTGCACCAGAGGGCCAGAGTATGGACTACAGTGAGGTTGTCTCTGCATTCTCCCGGTTGGTGGAGACTCATTTCCTGCAGCGTTGTCCTCCTATGGCCTCAGCAGGATCGTCAAGCTCAGGAGCAGTCAACGCTCCCCTTCCAGCTGTAACACAGCCCACTAAACCAGAGGACCACCCAGAATGCTACAAACTACCCTACATCACCGGTCATTTACTTCAGTCAAAGCACTCATCATCACGTACTATTAAACTCTTTAGTGGTCAACTCGTATGGTATATATAGTACCAGTGAAAATTGAGCTTATGCATAAATGCTTAAAATTATTTTAGTGTTCATTGAAAAATACAACAGGTAAAAGTTTTGAATATAGTTCTTATTGTTCACCATATGCATACAGTAAAACCGAGGTGGTTGAATTGTATTTATTCAGGTCAAGGAAAACGCAGACGCTCAAGTGAGGATGGTGAAGCTGAGCAACGTGCGACAAAGAAAGCCAAGACAGACAATAGTGAGGTATTACCATTGAGATGATGACAGCACCCATCCACATGTTCATTAGCTGAGTTTTTCATGCATTGCACATCTGTTTCCTCCCTCTCTCCCCAGCGTGGTGGTGAAGGGATCTATTGGCAGGTGACTTTTCAACGCTTTCACCTGCACTTCAGAGATCAGGCCATTATTAGTGCCGTTTCCTGTAAACTTGATCAGGTGACAGTAACCACCACTCTGTATATCAAATAATCTAAGATGTGCTGTGAGATATAATTAGGTTGTGGACTGAATATTCTTTCACGGCTGTATCTGAGACAGAATGTTCTGGATTTAGATATTCTCCTCCAGGGAAATAATAATAAGTCGGTAGAATGTAGGTCTTTATCTGCTAAATTTCTCCCCTGTAGACTAGCAGTGAGATTGTTAGAACCATGTTGCGGATGAGTGAAGTTAAAATGCCGGCTCACGCTGCTTTCACACAAGCCCTTTCTGCCAATGAGGTAATGGACAGACATGCATATTTTTGTTTGATAAGGCCCTTACTGAAAAACATTTAAAGAGACAGGTCTAATTAGTTCATTGGAGTTTAAAATGACAATGGCAGTGTGAACAGTCGGTCCTACAGGTCAGCTTAGAAAACCAAACCAGATTGGGGTGAAGTGTGATCAAAGCCTTATTGTTTTCCATCAGATTTTCCGAGCTCTTCCATCCAGTTACAACATCGCCAGACCAATTTTAGACCAATACCTCACCCTCCTGGTGGATGATCCGGTAAAGCAATGCATACACAGATAAACACTACTATATAGTTGCTATTTATACAAGAATTAAATGACTTAAAAATTAATATGCATTTTGTTCTACTAGATGGAATTTGTGGGCAGGACAGGTGACAGTGGAGGAGGAATGTATGTCGTCAGTATCCCTTTAAAACACTACCTGAAAGAAAAAAGGAAGTTTTCCATGTCTGACTGCAAACCGTTTTTATTGTTTATTTATTTCATCAAAAGTTTGGGGTAGTAAGATTTTTTTCTATTTTAAATAAATGCTGTTCTTTTGACTTTTCTATTCATTAAGGAATTCTAAAAAAATTGTATCACGGTTTCCACAAAAAAAAAAAACTGTTTTCAAAGTTTAATATAAGAAGAAATGTTTCTTAAGCAACAAATTAGCATATTAGAATATTTTATGAAGGATCATGTGACACTAAAAATAGGAGTTGCTAAAATTTGGCTTGCCATCCCAGGAATAAATATTAAAATATAAATATGACTTCTATTAGTAATTCACTGTTACTACTGATTTTGTTTTATTTTTGATTAGATGCAGCATTGGTGAACATAAGAGATGTCTTTCAAAAACATTGACATTTTACCAACCACAGAGCAGTTGTGAATTATTTTAAATGATGTATCTATTTTTTCAACGACATAGTGTACAACTAATAATGAATTGGTTGACCCTTGACCCTGTGGTCAGATTTACATCCTGCACTGGCTAATCTGGCCAGAGCTACACTAGAGTCTGTGGTCCAAGAGAGGTTAGTAGAGTCGTAGTGCTTTAGCCTCCTGAAATCTTTTGGTTGTGTTCTTAGTTTCATGATGTGGCTGTGTTTTATGTCAGGTTTGGTTCCCGCTCTGCTCGAATCTTTCGTCTGTTACTGCGAAAACGGCACCTGGAACAGAAGCAGGTGGAGGATTTTGCCATGGTTCCTGCCAAAGACATGCTGTACACACTCCTGTCTGAGAACCTGGTCGAGCTACAGGTAGCACTCTCACAGATTCTATTCATAGAAATAGATTAGACTTAGTTTTAGTTAACTGTAACAACCCTGGTTCATAGCACTCTTTGTACTGTATGTGCAGGAAATCCCCAAAACGCCAGACTACGCCCCTTCTCGCACCTTTTACCTGTACACCGTTAACCAGCTGCCCACCTTCAGACTACTTCTGCAACACTGCTTCAAGGTACACAGCTCATATGAACATCCCTGGAATGTTTGTTTAATGCTTTTTATAATGTTTTGACATATTTGTATGTGGACCCCATACAGACAGTTGGCAACCTGATCGAGAGGCGGCTGTATGAGACCAAAGAGAACAAGCAAGTCACTCTCTACACATGAATCAGTCACATGATCATTAATCTTGTCTTTTCTCTTTGTGCTTATGGTGGCAGGTTGGATTCCAGTGAAAACCAGGTGGATGAGACCATATTTCTTCTGGAATCCTATATCAACTCTACACAGGCCCCTCCCTGACAGTTTTTATACAACTTTAGACTAGTTCAGAAAATTGTTTATGTTTGTTTGAAAAGAAATAGGTGGCTATAGAAGAGATGTTTATTAAAAATTCGCCATAAACATTCATAAAGGGTTGCACTCGTCATTAAATTATGCACATATCCAAAAAGGAATTCATGATATCTTAAATAACAATTTTTACTAGTGAAAATGTAATTTTAACATGTAAGAATTAAGCTACAGATATCAAGAAGTATGTGTATTACTAGTTGTAATTTCATTTTTGATATGATAAACGTATTTCTGCGAGTGATGAACATTGTTGATATCAAGAATTCGTGTTGTTACTAGTGGAAATGTAATTCCTGATATTTAATAGTGTGAGTATTTTGTGTAGCCGTGAACAATTTTATTTTCCTCAGGAAAAAAATAAAGATATAATTATTTTATTTAATGGCTTACAATTTTTTTTTTAATAATTTGTCTGAATGTCAAAAAAGCAAATGCAATTTACAAACCTATGCATTGAACATGAAGAATGAAACAGACATTTTTATTTCTGTTAAGAAAAAAAAAATAGACTGCTTGGTATTATACCATATGTTTTCAACTTAAATACAAATTTCATTATTTTCTTTTTCACAAATAGTGCATTTGCTTGTTTTCCTGCTCGTTCTTTCAATGCAATGCAATTTAAAGGATCTGGCTCTATGAAGCCATGCAGAGTGTCTCCCAGATTAACCTTCTTTCTCGTTCTTTTGCAACACAATTGGATTCTTGTGGTTTTTGATGCCACAACAGAATAACATAACTAAATAACGTACTCGACTGACCTGCAAGAACTGAACTTTTACACATTGTGCATCCCTTTGCATGTTCATGTATTAAATATTTTGGCACATTTTAGCACTCTCAGCTCCATGTGAAATATTTGATCAGGTTTAAATCCATTCTGCAGATTTCCCCCCAAAATCAGCAAAGAAAATGAAGAATAAGTCTGTAGATTCCACCTGGACCTGATAATGGATTGTTTGTGGTCCTGGAGCCGAAGTGTCATGTCTCAAAGGGGAAGTAATGGCTACAAAAGGCATATTTCCTGGTTGTAAAGGAAACTCTGTTCAGTCTGCTCTGCAGTGTCAGTTGTCATCATTCTCATCCTCATCCTTCCTCTGTTTCCTTGTGAAAAACCCCAACTGTGAAGAAACATCAACACATGGCTTAAGACTGCTGAGTGCTAGTAGTTTTAGTACATATAAAGTGTTTTGGGTAGTAATGCGCTTCAGATGTAGCCGCTGTACACCTGCTTATGTGTTGTGTTCAGTACCTTCCAAAGGATGAATACTAAGAGCGCAAGAAGCAGCAGTCCTCCAATGATGCTGCCAATCAGAATCCAGAGAGAGATTGGAATCGAACGCCCCTTCAGCACTTCCAAAACCGTCTATATATACAGAGACCGAAAGAGAGTTTATAGTACAAAACTCTGGATTTGTAGGAAAGTTTTCAAGTCATTTCAAGTTTGATTTTGATGTAACAAAGCAGCATTTTCTAAGTGGGTGAGTTGTATACTTGCTTTTTAATTAGTACAGTAGGCTACCCATTAACACCATTATTTATTCATTAAGATTTGCCAATGTAGAGCAACAGGCAGGATTTATCATGTGAACGTAATAGGCCAATCATAGAACGGTTGAGGCTTTATCTCCTCTCACGCGACTTTTCCTCATTCATTCTCAATTAACAATTTCATAGTGTTTGCATTGTTTTATTTTTGTACTGAGGATTACATATTACAGTGGCATTCAAAAGTTTAAAACCTCTAACCTTTAAATAAATACATAAATGGATGAACGAATGAGCAATTTCTTAGTCACTAATCAAGTAACAGTAACAGTTGTAAATTCAAGTTTTCACTCATATTGTCATGCTAACAATATAATTTGTGCTGAAAAAAGTAAAACAGAAACTTTTCATCAAATTAAAATAAAATAAACAGCTTCTAGGTCACTAATTAAATTTTCACGCAAATTGGCATGCTAACAATATAATTTGTGATGAACAAAAAAGCAAAACAGAAACATTTCAAAAGTGGTCTCACAATTTTGGACCCCACTGTGTAACAGTCTGGAAGCCTGCAACCTTTAGCTAAAAAGCTAACGGCTAATGCTAGGGAAGGAGACCAGAGGCCGTTTTTTAATGGATGTCAATGGAAGAGAGGCTTCACTACACTGAATAAACTGCTTTTTTGAGGAAACAGCTCATCATTTAATGCCTGTCAGCTAATCTTCAAACATGTTTTACACTAAACAGTAGTTTTTGATTGAACTATTTTTTAGAGTTTACCACAAAAAAAATCGATTTATAGGAGAAGTCACTGACTTTTTGCGACAGGTGGGATTCAGCTTACAGCACTTCTCATTTATTCCTATGGTATCTGTAAACGGCAATTGAGTGTCGCACAACTCTGACTGAAATTCAATGACGTCAAGGCTATAATGTGATTGGTTATCAAGGCACACATGATCCAAGTTGACCTTTACGTTTTCTCCACGATATTACGAGATACCAACTTGTAAAAAGCGTTCACGTCCTCGTAGAACTCGTAATTGCAACTTGTGAACTGGGACTTTTCTGAGAGCTACATCTTGTACTACCTGACCACCTCAGATGTTTAGGCATTGATAGTGCAGAAGGAAGAAGAACACAGATCCTCTCATCTCTCAATAGTGAGACAATCTCTGGTTTCTAGTGAGTCTGAAGACCTTGATTGGCTCAGGGTTCAGGTGTGTTTAATTAGGGTTGGAGCTAAATTTTGCCAGACAGTTGCCTTGTCCAAATACTAACACTTGCGGTCTTGCACTTGACCACTTGACTACTTATATGACGTATTTCCTGTATTTGGCCCAAGTGTTCAAGTGAGGATGAAGACCACAAGTGTGTGTCGAACTTTTCATTACCTGATGGGACACACTTGTAGTGTTGTAAAAATGCAAGTGTTTACATAGCTTTATTTTAATTTTACATTAATTTAACTTTGCATTTTAAAATCAACTTCTAAATGTCTGTTCAGTAGTCCCTATAACATGACAATTTTAATTTGTGGTGCTTCTAATTAAGTGATAAAGAACAGTTGCAAATGTTGTACAAAATAAATATCACCACTACTCATCTTTGCACCAATAAAACGTAAAAACACTGTTTTTCTACCAAATTATATGTAATATCTAATTATTATATTAATATTTAACTTGCATTGGAAAGGTTTCCATGACCTCTCGCGAGATCTCGGCAAAAAGTCTCACGATTTATTTCCAGAACATGATGCACGATGGGATACACTAAGCCTCGAATAGCGCTCCGGAGCAGTATTCGAGATAGTGTGGGTTTAGTGTGCGTTAAGGGCACTGTGCTTTGGCGTTTTTAAGACCTGGGACAGTCTTGCGCACTTACTTCCTGTCGCGCGCACGCGCTCTCAGGTGGCCAAGACCACAAGTGTGGGTATTTGGACAAGGGGATAGGCCCTCCAGGAACAGCTTTGGACATCCCTGGTTTATGAGTTTGTGTCCTGTCAGTTTTCTTACCTCCCTCAAAAGGGCAGCATTTCCCATTTTAATCAGACTGGACTCCCGAGCAGACAGCTGGTAAGAGCCCACTATTGTCACTGCTTTAAACTTGACCTGACAGAAGCACACAGTAGTCAGAGGTTAGAAACTGAAACACAAACACATCCCAGTAAATACAGCTGACCTCTGTAGCCATTTGCCTGTGTGGAATAAAAGAGAGAGATGTCACCTGTCTGAAGAAGTTGTCATGTATCCTCCTGGTGATGCGAATCAAGACTTTCTGTCCATTCAATAGCTGTTGGATGTGACACACAACCTCCACACACCATGAGGAAGTGCAGTTCTAAATATGAAAACAAAATGATATTATAGTATAAGATCATTTACTGCAGTAGATTAAATTAGTGATCTACTGGTTATTTTTTACATATAGAATCATTTCATGCAGCCTCAGATGGTGGTTTTGGTCCCTGATCATTTGGGTCAGGGTTTTCAAACTAGTGTTTACAAGGAGGTGCTAGGGAGTCTGTGGAAATGTTTGGAGAAAAGCTATTAAAAAAGTTAAAAAAGTAAATATTTAATAAAATGAATATTACAATAAATAAATAATAAAATATGATTAAAATAAAGAAAAATGGATTAAAATAAATGAAAACATGAGTTAATAAATACATTGAAATCAGATTAAAAGAAATAAGTAAATTATTTAGTAAATAAATAAATACAAATAAAATGTATATAAAATGTCAAATATATATTTATAATATTTATTTGTCATAAATTGTGTCTTTATACAAAAAACTATATACAGTAGATGCATTTAGAATTTTAGTATCAGTATCCCTCTCTAGTTTGGGCCTCTTCTGCTGCTTTCATTCTCATAGATATGCAGCCAAAACTCTCTGAATCATTCCAGTTTGTTTTCATTTGATTTTCTCCTCCACCCAAATACTTAACAGGAATTTTGTCCTACTTTTCAACAAGACAAAAAGAGGATGACAGCTCTAGAATTTGATGGCGATTTGACGGCAAAGAATAATGTCTACCCTTGTGAAAAAGAAGTTTATTCAAGTGTGCTATTAGTATACTTCTTTTAAACTAAAAAATAGGAAAGTATACTTTCAGTCTAATTTTATGTATGTCTCAGACATGGGCTTTATGTACTTCTCAGAAATATTCTTAAAATGACATTTAAGTATACTTGACTTATACTTAGAAAAAAATCTAAATATATTTGAGCTATACTTGTGCTCCGAGAATCTGTGTTTTCATTGTTATACGGTAGGGGGCGCTAGTACACATCTTCTAGTTAAAAAAATTGTT